TTCCTGCTAATCCCTGTGCTTCTCAGACATGAGTCAATATTCTTTAAATCAGTATTAGTAACCACTTCAGACGTTGTCATTAGCGACCTTTCCACACATTGTACCAAAAAAAAAAAAAAAAAGTGTAGAACTCATAGTCCCAGTTCATCCAGATCCTGCCTAAGTACTAAGAACCGAGACGTGATTGTTTCTATCTCAAAGGCAGTAGAGAGAAGATTCTCAGAATTCCTTGCCAGCACCTCCACCTCCAATAAGCCACCTCTTTTCTGAATGCTGCTTTTATAAGTAGCATCTCTCCCTGAGTGGCCTCCTCGAACTAAACAGCTCAAGTCCCACGCCCAGCACCTCCCACCCCAAGCCTTTATGTAAGTCCAGCCCACGCTGTCCACCCTTTTCTCGGAATGAGCGAATGAAGGAAAACAAGAACGGTCGTAGCGCCTTTCCGAAGGCGGTGGTCATGCCAGGCCCTGTACCGAGCGCCTATGCACATTCTCTAATCCGCACAGCACCTCCATGCGCTGGGTGCTGTTATTAGCCCCGGTTTACAGACGAATAAGCTCAGGCTCAGAGATGCTGAGTGACTTGCCCAGTCACACGGTCAGTGCACGTTAAGGCAGGGTGCACTCCTAGAGGGTTTGAGCCCAAAGTGCCAGTTCTTAACCTCAAACTGTCAAACGCCCTTAGCCCCAAAGCATTGGAGTGATAGTCCACCTGATTTGTGGAAACAAGAACAGAAAACCCAACCAGGCAGGAACCTGGGCAGAAGGAATCAGAATTCTTCTTAATAACTCACATTTTCTGAGCTCCTGCCACCTGCCAGGTACCAGGCCACGTGTGCTAAAGGTCTTACCGACTGGAGCTTCACGTCAGCGCTGTTTGGTGTGCACTGCCACCATCCTCGCTGCAGAGAGGAGGATTATGCAGCTGGGAGAGGTCAAGGGACTTGCCGAGGTGCCACCGTTAGTAAGCAGCTGAGTCAGACTCAAACCCAGATCTGCCTGCATCCACAGCCCATGTTCTTGACCCCGATGACTCCTCCCCAAAGCAACGGAGAAAAACAGAGAGGCCAATTCAAAGTCATCCCAAGGTCAAACAGAGACTGGGCTCCCACAAGGCAGGCCAGGAGGAGAAAGGGGTCACTCTGAAGTGGGGGGTGGCAGTTGCCACTGGTGATATTCTCCACACCAGCTCAAGAGGTGGAGTGTGGCCAGGGGTGGTAGTTCAGGCCTGTAATCCCGGCACTCTGGGTGGCTGAGGCAGGAGGATCACTTGAGCTCAGGGGTTCAAGACAAGCCTGAGCAAGAGCAAGACCCTGTCTCTACCAAAAATAGAAAAATCAGCCAGGCATCATGGCACTCACCTGTAGTCCCAGCTACTCGGGAGGCTGAGTTGGGAGGCTCGCTAGAGCCCAGGAGTTTGAGGTTGCAGTGAGTTACGATGACGCAATGCACTCTACCCAGGGCGACAGAGACTCTGTCTCAAAAAAAAAAAAAAAAAGAAAAGAAAGAGACCCGTGAGACCCGTGTCCCGGGAATAGAGGAGCTCAGGGTTCTTTCCATGTGTCGTGCTGAGGCTTAGAGCCCTAGCCTGAGCTTCTTCCCTGTGCCCCTTTGTACCTAGCACGGCGCCAGGTGCATCGCAGACCCCCAATTAATAGCTGCTGCTGTGGAGGAACACACGTGTCCCCTCTGCAAGAGACCTATTTCTGCTGCTTCCACTTCAGAAGTGGTCTGCAGTGTCCTCTGCTCTTTCCCTCGCTTCAGTGCGGCCCTCGAGGCCATTCGTGTCGAGAAGAATGAAGGTAGATGGGACGGAGCCTTCCAAGCACCGGCATCACTCCCGTCTGCACACATGGCATCGCTTTTCATCCTTTCGGGAAGCCACTGAGGCTCACGCCATGATTCCCATATTACGGAAAATGAAAACTGAGGTCCGAGGAGTGCACGATTTCCCTGCGGCCACACTGCTGGTAGGATGTGAGCTCCGGAACTCAGTGCTGACCAGTGGGCCTCCAAAGACCCTGCCTTTCACACACAGAGGGAGAAGAATGGGCAGGTCCTGTCCAGTGGCAATGGCCACACACAGCAGGCACCGAGTGAGCATGCACGCAGATAAACGCATGGAGGAGAATGTTTCAAGGAGAGGATTGCTAACAGGATTTGATATTATAAGACGTCACAGATAATAGAAACTGGAAAAGTCTGCTGGACTTGACAATTAAATTCGTTATAATAGCAAAAATTTAAAAAAGGAAATCACCTATGTACCCACCACCAGGAGATCGGATTAATCACGGTACATCCATACTCCAGAATGCTCTGCAGCTTTTAAAATAATGCTCCGCAATTACAGTTTTGACAGGAAAGACATTAGTGCTCTATTAAGTGAAAGAGTCATATTAGAATGCACGCATACAGCATGACCCTGTTTTTATCCGTACCAGGGACGTGGAGTACTTTGGCAAGATCTGGGTCATGTGCCCATCCCCTGACCAGAGGGCAGGTGGGCCACTGAGATTTGACAGCCAAACTAAGCTAGGGAGGGATGAGCATTCTCTAACGAACTAGGGTGCTTGGCCAGACCGAAGAAAAAACAAAAACAAAGCCAGTGTTAGCCACATCTCCATACTTACGTCCACGCCCTGTGCCAGGCCCCGGCCTGGTGCTATAAGCACATAACCATGTTTTCTCCTTTAACCTCCCCAGCAACCTTTGAGCTAGGTATTATTATTTCCACCTCTTACAAGTGAGTGGGTGGAGACTTAGTGTGTGAGTCATTTAGCCAAAGTTCAGAGCAGAGGCAGGTTCTAAGACAAGCACGTCCCACACCGAGGCCATGATGTTAACCACCAGATGTTGATACAAGGCCTTACTTCCACGGTGTCGCCGCTGCCGGGACAGTGCTGGCACACAGCAGGTGTGCAGAACGCTGATGCAGATTGGAACGGACAGACAGGAGGCAGGAAGGGGTGTGGGGGGCAGGTGGTTGGGTTTGTCTTGGGAAAGGTTAACTGCAGCTGAACCGGGGCTTCTCCTCGCTCAGTCTCAGGAGGGATGAGGACACGTGCTGGCAGGCAAGGCTCAGGGCCGGAGCAAGGACTCTCCAAGGGCAAAGCACATCTGGAATAGTCACTGCAGAATTCGACAACGAGAGAAGGAAAATTGGAATAAACATGCTCTTGTCCTCGGGAAGACGCCCAGGTGGCCAGGGAACACGTATTGGGAGGACACACAGAGCAATTTGTCACAAACATTGTCCACTTTTTATTTTAGCACAGTTGCTCTGCTTGTCCTCCAGACCCTATCTTCCCACATTCCTGCAAAACAAGCCACAGTGAGTCACCACAAGGCCCTCAACCCCAGAGCGGACTAGTGACATGTTGTTCCCTTGGAAACTGGGAACAAGTGGCTCCTCCCCAGCCAGGGGAAAAAGCCGCCCCTCTTCCTCAGCAACTCGGCCCCTCCAGTCTCAGCCCCTCACCTGCAGAGACAGGTGCGCACACACCCACGAGCGCCGCACACACCTGCACGCACGCACTCCCCGTCTGTTCACACGCGTCGCCACACAGGTGTGAGTTACCACCCGGTCATTCTCCTCCACCTCTCTGCCGGCAGATCCCGGATTTTGTGCGGGACGTGCCTGCTCAGCTCTAAACCGAGTCCGTTTCCCTTCTGCAGGCCCTCAAATTCCAGACTCCTCGCAGCTGACGGTGGCCGTGTGACACGTCTCACCAACGGAACAGAAAGGGCTTCTCAAGGTGGGAGTGGGCGGGGGTCCTGAGAGGTGCGATGTGCTGAGGCAACAGTGTACTGTCCTGGAAGAAAGGCCAAAACTCCCCAGACTCCTTTGCAGCTCGGCATCTGGAAGTCCTCGGCTGCAGGGACAGCCCACGTGCCCAGCAATCCCCAGCTGAGCCCACCCTCGCGTCAGCTCAGCCCAGCTGCCAGCCCTCGGGAGCACTCCAGCCCTCGGGAGCACTCCAGCCCCCAGCTGTTCAAGTCGCCCCCAAACACAGGAGTCTTCCCAGCTGGGGCAAACAGACCGAGAGTCACTGACCCCCAATAATTCCTACCTCCTGGAGTCCACATCTTTGTGTAAAGTCCTCCACACCTGTAGGAGCAGGACCTGGGGCTTCCTATTAACTAAGAATCCAGCAAAGCTGAGGAGCTATGACTTCCTTGGCTAGTTTGCACTAAATGGCAAAGGGGACATCGGTCATGATTACACTGTGTTATGTATGACTCTATCCCAGAGACCGGGAGCGAGAGCCTGTCTGCACCTCGCTGGCTTTGACGCTGCCTCGTGAGCTGCCTCCAAACAGGGCCACGTGGCAAGAACCTGCAGGCCTCCAGACAACAGCTAGAAAGGAAATGGGGACTTCTGTCCCACAGCCGCAAGATTAGTCCTGCCCACAACGCGTGGGAGCTTGGGAGTAGGTCTTCCCCAGGTGAGCCTCTCACGAGACCACAGGCCGGGCTGGCATCTCAACTGTAGTCTGGTGAGACCCCGAGCAGAGAACCTAGCTAAACCACACCCTGACTTCTGACCTACAGAAACTGAGAGGTAATAAATGTGGCCCTTAAAGCCACTGAATGTGGGCTAACTTGCTATGTAGCAATCGATTATTAATATACCAGCTGAGGCCCCAGATACCGTGAGGCAGGAACACGTCTCCCCACGTGCCCGTCCAAAGCCGTCACCCACAGATTTCATGAGCTTCAGTAAATGGTTGTCAGTTTTCACCACTAAAGTTTGGAGTAGCTGTTACCCAGCAACAAGTGACGGGGACAGATACAGACTCTGTACCAGGCCTGCGCTGAGCGCCTCACAGCATTGGCTCGTTTCATCCTGTCAACAATGCTGTGAGTCAAGCACTGTTATTTCTTCGCTTTATGAATGAGAAAACTGATGCTCCTACTCGTTAAATAACTTATCCAAGGTCACACAGATAACATGGGGATGGGAAACTAAAACGAGATTATGAGAGTCTTCAACGCAGCATGCGTTCAGGTAACGGCTTCAGTGTTTATCAGTCATCTACTGCTGCAGAGCAAAGCACCTCCAAAATGTAGCAGCTTAAAATAACTCTTCATGATCTAGTTTCTGTGAGTCAGGAATCCAGGCACGGCCCAGCTGGGTACCTGTGGCTCTCACAAGGTTGTCCTTAAGGTGCTGCTCAGGACGGTGGGCATATCGAGGCTCAGATGGGGGGCAGCGAGAGGGGGGTCTGCTTCCCAGCACCACGCCCAGCTGCTGGCAGCCTCAGGTCCTGTGTTGCCCTCTGCTCCTTGCCTGGCCACAGGGCAGCCAACAGGCAAGACAGCCAGGGCAGGTGCCCAAGACCGAAGCCATAGTCTTTTTGTAACCCAACGACAGAAGTGACATTCCATCAGTTTTGCTGTGTTTTATCAATTAGACTTGAGGCTCTAGGTCCAGCTGGCCCCCAAGAGGAGGAGAATACACAGGTGCATGAGCACTGGGAGCCGGGGATCAATTGGGCATCTGGGAGGCTGCCTGCCACAGAGCTGTGCTGGGCAGTGGGTTTGGTGTCATCCTTAGGTGGGATGGGAATCCATAGTCCCCTCTGAACACCACTGAGAATTCGGCTCAGATTCAAGGCAAGCCAGACTCCCCTCCTTCCTCATCCTGATTCTCTGACTCGGGAAAGCCATTTTCTGTAAGGAAGCCTTTATGTTGCTCCTGTAAGAAAGAAAGTTCATTTTCACTCTCAGCCTTTGCTCAATTATATTTGTGACACGGAGCTAATTTTCTTTGATGACACATTATTCTCCCACTGTCATGCAAGTGTGGTTCTCATTTATAAAAAGCTCTCATCTCATTACTTGACCACAAGAGAGTTTTAAAGAGTGGCATTCTAAAAATCATATTTCAAGTAAAAATAAGCTTGAGCGTGAAACTTTAGTGATGCTATTTCCATAAATTTATTTTACCTCTAAGATGCTTCTGGTGGCTGGGAGCGGTAGCTCACACCTGTTATCCCAGCATTTTGGGAGGCCCAAGTGGGAGTAGCGCTTGAGGCCAGGAGTTTGAGACCAGCCTGGGCAACACAGCAAGACCCTCATCTCTATGATGGCAGGGGTCTTATGGGGGTCAGTGCTGGTTGGCTGCTCTCACTTGACCATTGCCTGTAGCAAACAGGCCCAGGCACAGCCAGCCAAGCACAAAGCCCTGTTCACCGTCTTCCTTGTCATTTCTCTCCGGGCTGGTTTGGGGGCCCTGCTTGGAGGTGTGTCATGCTGCAGCAGGAAACCTTTGTTGCTGTAGGAAAGGTTCAGGGAGGAACTAGCCCAGAGAAAGAAGGGCGAAGGCAGCTGCAGGGAGCTCTCCTGGGAGAGACACAGCCTGCCCCTGCAGGGGTCCCTGCCAGCCAATCTTCCACGCGATGAGGGCAGGTCACCAACTAACAGCCATCTGCACCCTGCCAGGTGGTACTTGGCGCCTCAGCTGACTGGTCAAGACCTGGGGATGAGGATCCCAGCCGAACAACGTCCCTAGTGCGGGGAGAAAGCCGGAGCGCCAGACTTCAGAGCCCGCTCAGCGACTCTCCTGCCAAGTGACCTTGGATAGACTACTCCACTTCTCTAGACCTTAAGTCCTCATCTATAAAATGGGGGCCTTGTCTACCAAATAGCGCCGTGGCAGAATAAACGAGTTAATGTGCGTAAAGTGCTTGGAATCGATGCGAGTGCCCAATGCGTGACAGCTCTAACTAGAAATCTCACACACATCATACTGAGTGGGGGGCGGGGGGAGCCAGTAGTCAAAGAATAACTAGAATATAATTTCATTTATGTGAAATTCAAGAAGATGCAAAAACAATATACTGTCTAGAAATGCAAACATTTGCAAACTCTAAAGAAAAACAAAAAATGGTAAATGCAAATGTTAAGACAGTGGTTAGCCCCCTTGGGGGTGGCCTTGGGTGGGGAAAACACTCAGATAGTTTCTGCCATTCATAATAGGCTCTTTCTAAATCCAGGTGGTGTCAGGTTTAGTGGCTCACACCTGTAGTCCCAGCGCTTGGGGAGGGTTGAGGCAGGAGGATGGCTTGAGGCCAGGAGTTCAAGACCAGCCCTGGCAACATGACAAGACTCTGTCTCTACAAAAAATTTAAACATTAGCTGGGCATGGTGGTGCACACCTGTAGTCCCAGCTACTCAGGAGGCTGAGGCAGGAGGATCACTTGAGCTCAGGAGTTTGAGGCTGCAGTGAACTGTGATCACACCACTGCCATCCAGCCTGGGCAACGGTACCCTTTCTTATTCCTGTTTCTTAACTACATTAGCCAAGAACTCATGCTAAAAATTGATGACATACGCTTGAGGCTCTGACTCGAAGGGGGATGGGGGGATGGGCAATATATATAACCTTAACACTTGTACCCCCATAATACGCTAAAATAAAATTAAAAAATTGATGACATAGAAAGAAAAGGAAACATAAGACAACCCAGAGCTCCTTTTCCTTTCAGTCCTTCCTTACTAACCAGTATGCCAGAGGTAGACAGTGTTGATAGAATGTGCAAGTATCAAGAAGCTAAATGAAAACAGTTGTGCAGTAGTAATTCTACTGTTCAGCTAAGAATGAAATTCACATGCACCAGCTAAAAAATGCAAGTTACATAATTTTGGAGACTTAGCATGCAAATTAAATGCTCTTATATGTACATTTAAAATTGATGTTGTACAATATAAAGATGAACAGTCAAATCTATACTAATGTGTTAAATTTAAAATTTTTTCTTTTAAATAGTAAAAATCACCATGACAACTCAAGAGCGAAAGATTACAAAAAGAAGGGAAAAGCTTCATATTTTAGTACCTTGAAAGGCACCTTTTGCCTGCTTTTTTAATAAGAGGCCCCACATTTTCATGGTGTGCTGAGCCCCACAACGTCTGCATGTGTGTCCCATGTAGGCTGTAGGTGGCATCCTTATTTTGTCTCCTGCGTCAGACTCAAGGCCATGGCCAAGGTTTGTTTGCCTGAACTCGCTTCCCGCTGTTGTGGGCATTTTGTAACAGGAGCCAGGGCCCTCGGAATAACGTCGTCCACTGCAGGGGACCAAAGTGGCCCGAGGCCCCAGGGTGCTGTGGACCCCGGAAGCAAGTATGGAAACAGGACTGGCTTTGTCATGTGGGCTCAACGCCCCACCCCCAAGTCACCCGCTCCGACGGGGGCTGTCTTGGGAGGCTCTCTGGGGTTCAGGACTCGCTGGCTCTTCTGGCCTCAGAGGGAAGCCCCTGGCCTCTGCCCCAGCTTTGATGTGACACCAAAGCCCGCTCCCGGCTGCAGTAACCCCCACGGCTCACCGAGGACAAGGACCCCCGGCCTCTCACTGCACTGTCCCCACAGGGCAGGCACAGTGCCAGGCACGGAGTAGGGAACCAGGAACAGGAAAGGGAGCTCTTTATTCAACAAATAGCTCTGGGGCGCCCACTAAGCACCAGCCACTGTCCTTGGTACGAAAATCTCTACAGGGTGACCAAGGCGGCCAATGCCTCGCCCTTGTGAGGTTCAGATTCCAGCAGCAAACAAATATTGATAGACACGTGTTGTCAGACAGCGAAAAACCGTATGACAAAAAATAAGCCAGATGAGGGAGCTATGAGAGCGCTGGGGGCCGGGAGGGTCTGCAGAGCCTCAGCGAAGTGAGGGGCGAGGGTGTGGGTTTGCAGAATTCCCAGCAGAGGGGACAAAGTCCTGAGCTATGACATACCTGACACAAGCTTTGAGGTGCAGCAAAAGCCCCCTGGAGCGCCGTGAGGAGGGCGGCGAAGGCTGGCAGGCCTGCTGCAGGGTTCCGAGCAGAGCAGGGGAGGGATTTAACCTCCAGGTTAAAGGGCCGCTGGGTGGGGGCGGAAGCCAGGGCGCCGGCGAGGGGGGGCTGCGGGCCAAGCCCAGGGGAGACGGTGCAGCCCAGAGCAGGTGGGAGGACAGTCCGGCTAGGAAAGGCACACGGAGTGTTGCTGAGGGATTGAAATGAGAGGAAAACAGGCACTGAGGCTCACTCCATAGCGAGCCACTGGGAAAAGAAGTCGCTATTTATTCAGACGCGGAAGATGGACCGTGAGTGACGCGGGAACTCACATCAGATGTCAGCTTAGGTGTTCTTGGAGGAAGCCCGCTAAAAGCTGTCTGCTTGCCTTCGCGTGTTAAGCCTTGACCACGTGCTAGCCCCAGTGCTTGGCAACTTACATTGATTGTTGCTGAACAACCCTGGTAGCAGAGAGCTGCTTACCCCACTCAAGAGACAAGAAAACTGAGGCTTTGAGAAAGTATCTTTTGTCTAAAGTTGCTGAGTTCTGTCTCTTCTAAGGCAGAACTGCCATTTTTTTTTTGATCCTTAATTGCCCAGGCACATGGGTTATTTGAAACTTAACCTTCCTCCACCTCCTACTTCCAATAAGACCCCCTTTGTAATACTGTGTTCTGACGTAAGGACTTGCTTCTGCTGCTGTGATACACGGAGGGCAACCCCCAGTGAGTGACGTCTGCCTCGCATAACCCTCTCCCCTTGAGTTCAGGCAGAACCTGGGGCTTGCTTCAAGCCAAGTGACTATGGCAAAGATTACGGGATGTCACTCTCATGGTTATATTGTGCTATATAAGACTCCATCTTAGCAGACGAGAGAGAGAGAGAGAGAGAGAGAGAGAGAGAGAGAGAGAATCAATGATTAAACACCTGCTGGCTCTGAAGAACAGCCGTATTGTGAGAGGTCTGTAAGAGCCCCATGACCCCATGGCAGGGAACTGCAGGCACCTGTAGCACCGCTAGGGCCTCTAGCTGAAAACTAGAATGAAGGTTTTATAAAGGCAAGAAGACGAATTCCGCCAACAACCTGCAGGAGCTATAGAAATAGATATTTCTGTACTCAAGCCTCTGATGAGACCACAGCCCCAGCCAGCCTAGTGAGAGGACAAGTGAAGCCAGGCCCCTGCCTCCTACAGAAACCATGAGATAATGTGTATCGTTTCAAGCTCAAAGTTTGGGGTGATTATTTTATGCAACATAAAAACTAATACAATTCTAAATATTATTTACATGGCTGTCTTTGATACTGTCAGACTCTTCTCAAATTAAGAAAATAGGTCAGTCTCACATTTCTCTGCTAAAGACACTGTCTGTTAGTTGGGATAAATAGATGCTCTCATAGCGTGCAACCTCTATGGAGAACAGTAAGGCCTCACTTAATGTCATTGATAGGTTCTTGGAGACTGCTACTTCAAGCAAAATGACATACAGCAGGTCCTAGAATACCGTCATTTCTGTTCAGCATCATTTTGTTGTAATGTTGATGAGAAAAAAACAATGGTTTTGTTATATGTCATTTTGCTTAAAGTCACACTTTGCAAGAACCTATCAATGATGTGGAGGACATACTGTACAATCTTGCCATTTCTTCACATTTTTACATACACATGTCTTCTCATTAAGCAATTCCACTTTGAGGAATTTATAATGTAAGTATACTTAACCATGGCAAATGACAGAAGTGCCAGGTGGTTCCTTGCAGCATGATTTGTGATAGTTAATACTGGAAACATCCCAATTGACCATCAATAGGGGATTGGTTAGGTGTATTATAATCATACCCTGCAAAACACTGGAATGCTAAGCAGTTTTTAAAAGGATAAGGAAGATTTTTAGGTACAGATACAGGAAAAAACTGCAAAATATATTTGAAGCAAAAAAGTCAAGGTGCAGAACACTGTCTATATTATGCTACACTTGTGTAAAAATAGAAATGTAAACCATTCGTCAGAATTCGCCTGCACGCACAAGCAAACACTAGCAGCGTTTGCCTCTAGCAAGTGGAGAGAATTGCTGGATGGAATAGGAAGGAAACTTTTCACTGCATACACCTTTCCACACCTTTAAAAGTCTGAACCATGAGAATACATTATCTATTCACAAGAACAAAGAAAATTAAAAGAAATACACCACCCACGTGAGCTGCTGCTTAGAGAGACGAAAGGATACAATAGGAGAACAAGACAAAACTGCCTCAAATTCAGCCAGGCGGCAGCTTGAATACATTCTGTTAAAAAGAAGAAGATTTCTTCATCACTTTTAGAAGAAGAAAAAAAGACACCTAAAGTCTATAATTATAGTATTATATTTACTGTCAAATTTAAAGGGAAAAACAAAAATGTCTTTGTCTTCTGCTCGAATAAGCATACAGCAAGAATGACAAACTCACTCGCCCATGAAGCCAGGGCAGGAAGCCTAAAGGAATGAAAGCCTGGTGACAGGAAAATCATGGGAATTGTGAGGCAGCCCTGCCCCCGGGTGTTGAGGGCTTCGGATCCTCTGCGACATCACAGCTAATGTGCCAGGCACTGAGTAAAGTCCTTTCCAGGAACTTTGTCAAAGAATTGAGCCAAGGATCCTTTGAGGGAAAACCATTGTTATCCTCGTTTTACACATGAAAAGACTGCGGCTCAGAGAGGTTGCACCGCTAGTCCCAGATCACACAGCAGGACTGGTAGAGTCAGTGTGATTAAAAGCCTGTACTCTTCACCACTTCTCACCTTCTTGTAGACACTTGAACAGAAGCATGCCCATGCAGGGCCGCTTTAGACCTCCAGTAGACCCTCTTACGGAGCTGTGACTCCATCTATATAATAAAAGCATATCAAAGTACACATGGTTTAGTATGATTCTATGACTGGGTAAGAGCTTGGTGGAGTTGAACTGCAAGTTGACTAACAGAATATTAATCTTGAGGACTTTGTAAAACATCTTTATCGAGTATAATTTACATAGCATTCTATGCATCCATTTTATGTGTCGGTCTCATGATTTTCGTTGCACAGCTGAGCCACGTCCCCACGTCTGGGTTTAGGAGCCTCCTCTCACCCCAAAATGCTCCCTCTGCCCTCAGCAGTCAATCCCATCTCTCACTCCTCGTCCAGGCAACCACGGATCTGTTTAGGTCTCTAAGTTTTGCCTATTCTGGGCATTGCATATAAGGGAATCATACAATATGTGGCTTTTGTGCCTAGATTTTTCACTTGGCATAACAGCTTTGAGTTGTCACTTATGCTGTGCGTATATCAGTAGTTCATTCCTTTTCATTGCTGAACAGCATTCCATTGCAGCATTGTGCCCCAGTTTGTCTATCCATTCCCTGGTTGATGGACATTCCCAGTTTTTGACTAATATGAATAAAATTCCTACAAACATTGTTGTCATCACATTTTAGGCTCTGAATGAGCGGGAGTCTTTGCTTCTCTTGAGAAGCTGCGGAGAAGCTGGGATTGCTGGATTATAGGTCAGTGGGCTTTTTTAACTTTTTAAGAAATTGCCAAACTATTTTCCAAAGTCGCTGCACCATTTCACATTCACACCAACGATGCATGCGGGTCATTTAGAGGACTTTTAACTAAACACGTATGAATGTCAATCCTTTTTTTCTTTTCTTCGGAGCTAACATGTAACATATTATACATTTTTAGGTTTTTCCCATTTCTGTATAGAGAACAGTCAGCAGGCTAGCCCTACGCCCACCTTGTGCTCAAGGAGTAAAACATCCCACCAAGCTAACACACTCCACGGTTGGGAAGCCCAAGGCCGCAGAGAGTCGCCTCGGGGGCGGGGCTGGGGGGGGCCGGAGGCGGGCTCGTGGTGAGCCGAGGGGTGGGCACACGTTCTCCAGCCCCGCCCACTCCGCGCCGCGCTCGGCCCCCGCCACCCTGCAGGCGGCCGCGCCCTGAGGGGCGGGGACAGGAGGCGCGCGCGGCTCCGGCCGCCCAGCCGCTCTGGCCTCCGCGCTCCCTCTCGGGTCCGCCGCGCGCGCCTCGCAGGGCACTATGGCGGGCTGGTGGCGCTGCTGGCCCAGCGGCAGGGTGGGCGCGCGGGTCCGGCCCGCGCCGCCTGGCTCCTGGCGCCGCCGCCGCGCCTGCGCCCCGCCGCCCCCGCCCCCGGCGCCTGCCCGCCCGGGCCAGACGTCCGGCTGCTGCGCACGGCCCGCGGGGACCGCCGCGGCCACCAGGTAAGCTCCCCACCCCCGCCCGCATCCCGGGCCGGGCGGCCACCTGGCCGCCAGGGCGGCTCTGCACTTGCCGGGCCCGCGCTTCGGGAGCCCCCAAGCCCCAGATCTCGACAAGCCGACGAAGCGGTCCTCCCAGGTGACAGCGGGGAAACTGAGGCTCGTGGAGTCTGGCGCTGCGCCCAAGGTCGCGGTCCGCGGCAGAGCCGGGTCTCCGGAGCGGCCGCCGGCCCGGGGTGCGGCGCACAGGACTGGGGGGCCGACCCGGCAGAAACTCCCCCGCCGGCGGAGCGGCCCCGGGGCGCGGCTCCCGGGGGCGCTGTGCTGCCTGCGACCGGCCGCTTTGGTGTCCTCCCGGGAGCACTGCGAGAAAACCGGTCTCCATTCGGCGCGGCGATACAGGCCATACTTTGTGAAAACGTGTCCGTTGTTTAAAAGTGGGTCTCTTCATTCCACTCTGCCTCAGAAAAGCTGCCTTTTCCTCGCCCTGGGCCATCCTCCATGGCTGTCGTCTCGCCTGGTTCACCTATTGCTTGAGTTAATAATGATGATGCCTTTACGGCCACTGCAAATGGCTGAACCACTTGGCAAATTTTGAAAACTAGATCATCAAACCAGAATTTGTGACATTGAGTTCATGCGCAACCAAGAATCGCAAATGCAGTTTTAGCACCGATTCTTCATCTAAGACAACTTGCCAGAATCCTTCGCATGATTTAATAGTGACAGTTATTTTTAAAGTTCTGTAGTGATCTAACAGTGCAACTTCTCTGGTTATTGACTATGCGTAGACATCAGTATTCTACACAGAGCCTCGTCAAGATGTCCAGTTGATGTGCCGAGACCCCTGAAAAACCCAGGAATTGTCAGAGAAGCATTAGTTACCTCTAGAAGTGTTATTTTTCCCACTTCTTAAGTCACCAAGTACTTTCTCTTTAACTCTGTAAGGAGGCTATCTACTTGCTCCATCAGGTCTTTTATCTGTGGCAAAAGAGTTCTGCTGACTTTGCTCTGAATAATTTCTGTGAGCTCACTTGACACAGCCATAATTCTCTTCCCATCTGCCTGAGGAATGCTCTTAAACTCCCTTAATCATTCCAGCCTTCATTCTTTCAGCGTAGCAAGAGTGTGTCTGCAACTCTTGCTTCCTCTAATTTGGGTTCATCACAGTGGGTATAAAACAATGACCTCTTTTCATGGAGTGGACTACACTTACGGTGTTTAATGTATACTATCTCATTTGATCCTCAGAATGAGATGTGTATAATATCTATAATAATGAGATATAATTATCTCACTATTATTGCTTTATACAGGTAGTGTTGAAACAACAGTTCAAGGGCAGCAACCCCCCAAAATAAATAAATATATATATATATAAAGTATATATATATATAAAATAAAAGTGGGTCTCTTTAAAGAAAAGCATTAAGTCGGAAGTCCGGAAATGCAGGAATGACAAGCCAGGACTCGCCTCCAGCTGGGCAGTCTGGAGTCCCTTTGTGTGCCTGGGTGGGATGGGGCCCTCTGGTCAGGGGCCTCTCGACCTCTGGCCAAGCTCTGAAGGCCTCTCTGAAGGCCTCGGGCCTGTTTGCTGACCTTTCAGAGGGCTAAAAATAGCACCCTCCCAGTAAGAGTTTGGGGGACAAATCCACGAACTGAGGCAGGCCTCATTGCAGTGCCGCACGCCCAGCAAGTGCTTCCAGAACATTCTGTAGCTTTTCAGTAAGTGGGAGACCTCACCATGCCTCCTGTGCAGATGGAGAAACTTCCTGCCTTGCCTTCTCCCCGTCTGGCAGGTGGCATGTAGGTCGCGTCTGCAAATCCTGAGCCCTGTTCGGAGCCCTCACAAGTTTGGCACCGGCTGCACACACTGGGCTGCCTCCTGGTGATCCTCCGCCCAGCTGTGCCTTCCTCCAGGAAGCCTTCCCTGACCACCAGTGAGGCCTTGGTTACCTCCACTGGACCTGCTCCATCCCATGGGTGTGGATCTTCTCCGTACTCATCATCCCCAACGACCTCCCCAGCAGGGCTGGGAGCAGGTGGACGGAGGAGGGTCTGGGCTTTGGCTAGTGGCCAGCACCTCCCTGCCGGCTGTTCCTGGCTGCCCTTGTTAAGAGGCAAGAGTGCAGTGCCACCCAGCTGGAGTCTCCAAATGTGCCAGAGAGACACACCCACCTCTGCCTTCAGCAGAGGGGTTTGGGGGGGTGCCCCCTTATAACCAGGAGGGGGAGGAAAAGCCGCAGAGGAACCTGCCTTTTTCACTTAACATGACTCGATGTCCTGTGAACCAGCCGAGCTGCCTGCCTGAGCCACTTACTGTGTGTGTGTGTAGGGGGGAGACTTTAAGGCAAATGACATGCTCTCCTGAGCCCCATGTCCTTCCATCTGCACCAGTCCTGCCTCCAGAGCTACCTGTTCAGGGAGACCTTCTTGAACCTTCCCGAACCTTCCTGAACCTTCCTGGCCTTGCAGCATCCTTCCCACTGGTCCTACCTGCCTCCCGCCCCTCCTTGGGGTTTCTCCATGGCACTTGTCACAAGTAGCAGCCCTGATATTTTACCTGTTTATTTTACCTTTATTCTTGTTATTCTGTTTATTTCTGTCTCTCCCACAAGACCATAGGCTCCTTGAGGGTGGGGTTGTGTCAGTTTGGTTCATTGCCCTGTCCCCTACATTTAGAGCAGTGCCTGGCCCAGAGTAGACACTCATGACTGAGCAAGGAACATGGCAGAGTAGATAAAGCCAAAGGCCTTGGAACCAGACTCAGCAAGTGTGGATCCCAGCTCTGACGGTTATCCCTGTGTGATCCTTGGTAAGTTACACAACCCCTCTGGGCTTTTTGGATCCTTTTCTATTAAGCAGGGATGACAGTAGTACCTGTCTCACAGGGTTGTGAGAATTATATGAATTAACGTTTTCGAAGTACTCACAACAGTGTGCCTGGTACACAGTAAACACAATATGGTGTTATTAATATTATTTATCAATTGAATGAAAACAGGTGTCACTCCAAACAGTGTGATCCACTGTGGACCAGGTCTTTCACTCATTCTTCAAACCTTCCTGCCCCTTCTCTGTTAGAGCTTTTTGTACTTTATTAGGTATTAGGGAGGGGCAGAGGGGGCATCTCTCTCTCTCTCACACACACATACACACACACACACAGACACACACTCGAAGCACTCTGAGTACAGACACTCAAGGGATGTATACGCATCCAGGTGGTGCCTAGCACGTCGCAGGTGCTTAAGGCGGCAATACATCATCAAGAAATGCACGTCTGAAAGTTTTCCACTGCTTGCAAGTCACAGCCTCCTAAGTTCCTTTATTTTCTCTTCTTTAGTCTCCTTAATGGTTAAGGAGACAAAGGCATGCCTCACAGTGGTTGAAGATAGTTCTTTTTTCCAAAATAAAAGGAAGAAAATTACCCAAGTCACTCAGTGTTCTCTAGAATATTAGAAAGTAACGGTGGTGCCAGCTGACAGGAGACTGCCGGCTGCGTCTGTTTTCCTCCTACCACGGCCTTGCAGTCGATGCTGCTCATTCTGTAGCTGGAAGTCTGGCCGCCTTTTTATTTTTCTTTGGCTAAAAGGTCTTTTGCCAAAATGGAGGGTGTGAAGAAAAGGACCCTTGGCAGCAGCAGCTATTCAGAGTCAGGCGTAATTCAATTCATTTGGGCCGTGGTGGGGGATGGGGGGGCAACGGGGCCTCAGAACAGTGCTCGGCCCCATGAGGGTGTGCGGGTGGCTGTCCTATCAGTGCCTGCTGGCTGCTGCTCCCCCTTCTGCAGCTGAGATGTGGGTGGGGGCCTGCTTATCAGAAAGAACCTGCACTCAGCAGCCTTCTGCCCCTGGGTGGCAGAGCTAGGCAAAGGCTGTGAGGAAAGGGGAGGCCACATGTGCCGGCCAGGGAGAAGGAGGCTGGGGCCAGTCTTCCTTCCTCCCCACCAGGGCCTGGAAGTTCTGGGCAGGTGTCTTCCTTGAGAAAAAAATCACTCTTGCAGGACAGGAAGGGAAACCTGCTGAGTGTCACAGAGGTCCCGTGACCTGGTGGTGACCAGCCCTAACTGCCAGTCAGCATGTCACTCCCCTCTGAACCTCAGTCTCCCATCTGCCAGAATGGGAGTGACAGTGGTTCCCCAGTCACAGGGTCTCAGGGCTTTTGTGAAATGGCACCTTTAAAGTGTAAGCCCAGCTCCTGGCCGGTAGAAGGGACCTATCATGAGGACACTGACAGTTTTCCTCAAGTCTTTTGAAAAATGCTGCTTCTAAAAATACATGCAAGAAGCGGTCCAGCCAGAGTCAGTAACTAGAGTAACTTAGGGCCAAGATGCTCACCTGCCAGGACAAACTCTGAGGACTGTCATTACAGAAATCTCAAGGTGCTCTCTTATTGAGAAGGGTTTTTTCCTCTAATCCGAGTGTTGTCTTTTTTTGTTTCTCCCAAACATTCCAGGCATGGTGGGTGCTCAGTGAATGTTAACACACGCCACGTGCATGATTATTTCTGTGCATCTGGTCAGTGTATTGTCCGAGCGTCAGCCCTCCCTTCGTCAGTGTCAGATCTCAGGTGTAAATCTTGATCGGGAAATAAATATCCCATAGCTTTTGTTCCGTTTTATTTTGCATCCACTGTCCTTTCTCTGGGGTATCTTGCATGGTTGTTATATGCTCAGGCTGTGGACTCGGATGGGCTCTTGGTGACTTTGGGCCAATTACTTGACCTCCCCAAGCCCGTGTTGCTCCTCCCTGAAGTGAGGCAGACAATGGGACCGACCTCAGAGGTTGCCGTGAGCATGGAAGGAGACAACAGATGGAGAGAAAGCATCGGAGGACAGCCTGGCTCAGAAAGTGCTCGATAAAGTGTCATTGTTGTCCCCAAGTATGAGCCCTAGCGTTTTGGTTACTATTACTGCTGCGACAGAGGCCCACAAACAGGTGGCTTAAGACAATACACATTACCGTACGGTTCTGGAGGTCAAAAGTCCAAAATGTGTCTTAACGCACTAAATAAAGCCCAGGTGTCAGCCGTGCTGGTTCTGCCTGGCTCCTGGGGAGAGTCCACTTCCTGCCTCTTCCAGCTTCCAGAGGCCACCTGCATTCCTTGGCTCATAGGCGCTCCTCTGTAGCCAGTAGCACAGCCTCTTCAAATCGCAGACTCTGCTTCTGTGGTCACCTCTCCCTCCCTGACACTGACTCTCCTGCCTCCCTCTTTTCACTGCCAAGGAACCTTGTGATTACAGTGGGCCCACCCGGATGATCCAGGAGACTATCCCCATCTGGGGATCCTTTACTAAATCACATCTGCAAAGTCCTTTTGCCACGTAAAGTAACATAGCCATAGGTTCTGGGATTCGGACATCTTCGGGGCCATCATTGTGTCGGCCACACCTAGTTCCAAGCCTTTAGCTAAGCGTAGTGACTAAATTAAATTGGCGTTAGTCTGAGCTCCCTGAGTAGGAAAGAGGTAACTGATCTCTCATCAGATAGGAAAGAGTAAAAAGCACTGGGTGAGGATCAAAGGCAGCACTGCCCACCGACACCCTGCTCCTGCCCCAGGGTGTCTCTCCCTTCTCTGGTTTGTGCACAGGACCCCAACAGAGTCACTGAGACAATGGGCAGCAGCGCCAGCAGCACAGAGGAGAAAAAGCAAAGCAAGTCACAGCAGCTGAAAAAGGTCTTTCAAGAGTACGGTGCTGTTGCCGTGTCGCTGCACATTGGGATCTCATTAATCTCCTTGGGCATATTTTACATGGTTGTTTCAAGGTGAGATTTTTTGACAGCATTTGTTTTGATATGATTAAGAACTTGTTTTATAAGACTTTTTTATTCATTCAGCTACTTCTGTTACATTTTTTAAAAACATTATAAACCTGACAGCCAAATCAATTGCTTCATTTAATCCCTTGCTATAATAATTATTTTCTTTGTCTCTTTCCCCCCTAGTGGCGTGGACATGTCTGCAGTCCTACTTAAACTCGGACTTAAAGAGTCGCTGATACAATCAAAAGTGGCAGCAGGCACAAGTACCTTCGTGGTGGCCTACGCGATCCACAAGCTGTTTGCACCCGTGAGAATCAGCATTACCTTAGTCTCTGTGCCCTTGATTGTCAGATATTTTCGAAAAGTGGGATTTTTTAAGCCTCCAGTTGCAAAACCTTGATAAACTCTTCAGTCGTAGGCCCTGAAACCTGTTTCTTTTAAATCACACAATTTTTATCCATTTTGGCTTTAGGGTTGTAAGGTTTCTTCAGGGGGATAAGGGGATGCAGGGAGCTAGTTGCTGTGTCCTCATAGATAAATTTTACCTTTACCAGCAAAAATCAGGCCTTTGAATAATTATCAATTTTTCTGCTTCATAAATTTTGTTAATGCTATTCATCATAGGGCTTGTATACATAATCTGAAATGTCAGCAAGACATCACAAATGAGTTAACATCTCAAAACAAAACACATTATAGGAGGTTCCCTCTGGAAGATCTTTGGTGAGCATCTGTCTGCAAAAGCTCCAGGGGTTAATCTTTGCTCAAGTTCTTAAAAATGATTAGTTTAGCTGGCCTTTTAAAGTCCCCTTCCTCTGTTGTCAGCTGCTCACTGTTTAATATGCAATATTCTGCAAAACAGCTGCCAGTGCAACAATTAATGAAGCAAAACTTAACAATGTGTAATCACGATCAGAATTAGCATCATTGCTTTGACATTCATTACACTTGTTTCAGGGAAAGAAAAACAAGTATTTCTGGTATGTTTCATTGATCCCAAAACACTTTCCAGTCTGGACATGACAGGGCCTATGTCGGGTGGTTTTTTGAAATTTCATTAAAGTAGGTCAGGGACATTTGTCTCTGTTTAGGTAAAATGTGGAAACCTGGCCCAGGAGCAGTGGCATCACTTGGCTGCTGAAGCCCAAATTCACAGAGGAATTTACCATGCATAGAAAGCTAAGACAATCTTTGCTTAACTCTCTGTATCTCAAACTTCAGACATTCCAGAGCTGTCACAATGTTTACGTAGTCTCTACTTATGTACATGAAAAGGAAAGTTAGTAGCACTTGTGTGCACTGCCCAGTGGGCCTAGTGTCATGTAGGACTTCCCTCTGGGCCCTGCTCTGATGCAGGCCTCTGGGAATCTGAACTAACCAGTCTGCCCAGCTGGGTGGTTGAGTTGCATTTATCTGTAAATGCATCTGGCTCCCAGTTCTTTGGTTTAAAGTTACATTTGTGACAGTTGGAAAACTAAAGTGACTGTTAATGGACCATACTGGCTTTAGTGACATCTGGCCATTGACAGTTCCCTAGTTAGCCCAGTTACCCCACCCAAGTCAGTCCATCTTCCAAGAAGGAATCTTTGTGGGACAGGTTCTCCGCTTGCAGGATCTTTAACGTAGAATCATCTTTTTTTCTTTTAAAGCAATTAGCCCATTGCCAAAAGATTTTACTGGTTTAAAGCTGAAACTATCTTTTCTAGGACCTAATTCAGGACTTCCCTATAGCTGAGATGCCCCATCACCATACCTGTGGTTAAGTAATTCCTTGTGTGGACTGGACAGAGCATTTTTATCTCATCTTTTATCATTTAAAGTGATTCGTTGGCTTCAGCTCCTCAGCCCACCTTCTGTACCAGTCTTCCACTCAGACCTCCAAGTGATGCCTATGCAAAATGCTGAGGTGCCCTCCCTGCAGGTTTAAGGGCTTAAAACTTTGTGCTAAGAGTAACAGGAGTGGACTAAAAGGGCAGCAATAAAACTCATATACCAAACAGCCATTCTGCTATGCTATCTAAGCCCCAAGCCCACCTCCACTTCTGTGGCCAGTGGTCAAAACAGAAAAGAACTGGAGGGATGAGGAGGTCAAAGGATCAGGGAACTAAAGCATTATGTGAATTCACCCAGCAGGATGTACAGATTACTTGTTTACATTGTTTTTATGTAATTAGGGAAATAAAACTGATTTTTAAAATGCAAGCTGTTCCTCTAATATTTTTATCTGACAAAGTGAGCAACTTAAATTCTATCACACTCTTCGATGTTTATGAACTTTTTATTCCATTTCTTGGTAAGCATAATAGTTGCCAATTTTGAAGCATCAACATGTGACTGTGTGTTAATGTGCTACTTACTACAATGAGCTTTCTTTGCTCCAGTGGGATCCTGTCTGGGGAAACGTCCCTCCCAGTCTAGCTAGTATCACTGGTAAAGTTAGTCATATTGTATTACCTATAGGTTTGGGTGGATGGGACATGAAATTATTCTTTGGGAATGTAAAAAGTTGATTTAACTCCAAGATTGTGGGAACCAAAAGCCCCTTTTGTCCCAAAGGGCTAATTGGACCACATGGGTTTCACTGTCATGTTAAAGTTCCTGTACTTTGTCACTTAGACATAGAAGTTTATACTGGCCACTTTGATGTATCTGATACCTAGTTGTCTTGCATGAAAGCATTTCTTCTCTACTAGTTCTAAGTTCAAGCCCTCCACCTTTCCTTGATCACTGTCAGGTTCACCGTATCTTTGGCAGCTATAAACATTGTAATTTCCCTACTAGGAGTATACCCAACCAAGGGACCAGACAGGGCCAGACCCTGCTCCTCTCAAGGCACCTGCTCACTTTCAGGGCAACAGTGAATAGCTGGCAGAAGGAATTATCTACGTACTCCAAGCAGACATATATATTTATTTATTTGCATATTTAAGGTTTACACACATGCCATAAACTCCAATATAATTAAAAAAACAAGCCCTTAATGACTCTGAGACACAATGGTTTCTTCTGTATCCCAAGCCAAGTCCCAAAAGTGGAGGTAAGAGCACATGTTCCTATTTTATAAAGTCTCATGGTATATAAGTGGTTAAAGAGAACTTGAAAACCAG